CTTATTTTAATCAGCTGCTCCAGGCGACACGAAGTTGACTTCAACGGTCGTCGTTTATTAGCTACTTTGGTATACTTAAGTCACCGAACAAATGCATCGCAGTATATACAAAAAAGACTGACGAATAAAAGCATCAATGAATGCATGAATGCATTAATGAATTCATAAACACTGTCGTTTGTAAATAGTGTAACCCTTGAGTTCGAATCTTGTGTAGGGAGAAATTGTATCGAGTTTCTTGGTCTTTCTGATGGGACGATCGTTCCCTCTCAGCCCCAGCTGGCCCTGACAGGCATGGTCCAAGTTCGCTTCCTAAATAAAGTAAATCATGTGGATACGAGTATAAAACACCTTCATCTCTATCTCTACATATTATATTTGTGAAAGTTCGTCACTTTGGCCGCCTAAAACTTCCGAACCACTTAACTTTCAAATTTGACAAAATTAATAGTGGTACAGAATCATTTAATGGGTGCAGTTTTATTTAGGAGCCGGAAGTCACTGTATTTTGATTTTCAGTTTTTCATTACTTTCGTTTAGATCAAATCTTGGGAAAATCCGTCTTCAAAGACGCCATAGTAAACAAGTGGGGTTCCTGTTCACTAGCCGTGAGAACTCATTCCACACCTTGAAATTCTGGAGTGTACAACAACGAAAGCGGAATAAAGAGTCAATCTGTACATCTCTATAATATGTTGATCTAGACCTAATTTTTTGCATCTCTCATGATTTATCGCTCCATCCCAGTACAGTAAAAATATAGTAGGCCAATGTCTTTCAGTTGATGTTAATACACCGATCATTCCTTTCATCGAAAGGGGGCTCCAGCGAGTATATTATATTTGTGAAAGTCTGTCACTATGGCCGCCTAAAACTTCCGAACCACTTAACTGTTGAATTTGACAGAATTATGGGTGGTTCCGAATCATTTAAAGGGTGCACAGTTTTATTGAGGAGCCTGAAGTCACTGTAGTTTAATTTTCAGTTTTTCATTAGTTCGTTTAGATCTATTCTTGGGAAAGTCCGTCTTCTAAAACGCCATTGTAAACCAGTGAGGCTTCCATTCACTAGTCGTGCGCACTGTGTACAAACACGAAAGCGGAATAGAGAATAATTCAATGCATCTATTATATATTTGGCAACTTGGAAACACATGAGTCACTTTTCACATAAAACTACGACAGCTGCAGAGTTGAAAGTTGGCAAGTGCCTCCAAAAAGATAGATAGGGTCCCCATGGCGGAGCCCGATTTTTGATTTATTCATTTCCTGAATTTAGAAAACATATATTAAACAAAAAGTTCCCGCCCTTCTTTGTCTTTTGTGATTAGTCCACTGATAAACGAAACAAATCTGCGTAAATCTAGCTTTCTTCACAGCAGAAGTGCCGGAGGGGATATTTCGACAGGTGCATTTTGTATTGAGAGTGTCGATCAAGACCTTCTGATTTTTTAGATCTTTCTTTATTGCTCCTTTCCAGTAGAGTATGTTTTTTTGGGGGAATTTTTTGTAAAGTGTTTTACGGCGCTCGCAACTGCATAAGGTCATATGAGTGCGCGGGACACACCTAATATTTTCAGTTGGTAGGAAATTTTGAATTTTGCCCGGGTGGCGGCCGAAGCCTACTCTTATCGATTTTAGACCACCAAGGGATCTTTAACGTGCACAACTTGCACACGGGCCCTCCGAGATTTTTCACCCTTGTCCGAGACGTCTAGATGTAGATCTTTCCTACCAGCAGATCAGGGGTGTGGCAGAAAGACAGCAGTAAGGAGGAGCCAAGGAGTAACAGTAGAAAGGCTGCAGAAAGAGTCAGGAGCCCAGAGGAGGGAGGCAAAGGAGGTGAGGGGGAGGGGGCAGAAAGTGGAAATGAAAGCAGACAACAGAATTTTGCTAGATAGCAGGAAAGGAGGTGAAAGGAGACAATTTTAGAGAAGAAAATTTTTCGGTCGCTACCCGGATTCGAACCCGGGACCTTTGAATGAGAGGTCAACACCTTAACCTCTAGACCACGAGAGCCCCCT